TGGTGTCCCATTACCCTCCCCCTTCTTGTCCCCCTCTTTTCCCTTCTCCTGGTTTCCTTTCGATTAAACTGTAATTCTTAGTGTCAGACATTAAACTCTACTCTCTGGAGATTACTGAATATTTACACAGCACTTTCCTGGGAGATGTTAAAACAACCTAAATGCTTTTTTCCTGGTGGCCATTAACTTGCAATAGTGATGAGCATCTTTTAAAAAAAAACAAAAAACAAAACAAAACATAAAACCAAGACTAGAGAGTTGGCTCAGTGGTTAGAAGCACTGGATGTTCTTCCAGAGGACCCGGGTTCAATCAGCAACCACATGGCAGCTCACAGCTGTCTGTAACTCCAGTTCCAGGGGATCTGACACCCTCACACAGACATCAGTGTGTGTGCACATAAAATAAATAAAACCAAGGACTTAACAAAATTATAGCCTACTCACTACCGTTAGGAAAATAAAAACAGACAAATATTTATACTCAAATTTTTAGCTGGAAAAAATTCAAACTGTCAAAAAAAATAAGGAATCATATCACACACACAAAAGTCACAAGTGTAAGTTCTCACACTTCTCAATGAACTGGACAAAGATTTTCCACCCAATTACATAAATCTTTTTTTGTTTGTTTTGGTTTTGTTTGTTTTTTAAGACAGGGTCTCTCTATCACATAGTTCTGTCTGTCTTGCCACTCAATATGTAGACCAGGCTAGCCCGGACCTTACAGAGATCCACCTGCCTCTGCCTCCCGAATGCTGAGATTAGAGGTGGTCACCACCACTCTCAGCCTATAAATCCTTCAAAAAGAGAGTCACTCAACTAGGTATCAAAAATCACACCTGTAATCCCAAAACCCAGGAGGAGGCAGAGGCAAAAGAGAGTTTGAGATCAGCTACACAGTGAGTTTCAGGCTAGCCTAGGCTACATAGCAAGATTGGGGGGGGAGGGTTCGAAATGCCGCCTAACATGAACATAAGAAATCATCTTATTTTTACGGCAATGATTTAAATGTGAGGAAACTTGAAGTTATATTTAATTCAGGTTAACTCAATCATAAAGTATGTCCTGGACTACAAACACTCTTAAGCCCAGAGACACCAAGATTATTAGTAAAGCAAAGCCTTGTGTTGAGGAAATAGTGCCCACTGGAGAAGACACAGGTATATGTAGAAAGGGAGGATTATAATAGCAGTATCTACAAAGTATGGAAAACATCAAGCAACAAAACAGATGTGACCAGTAACTCTGCCCCATGGATTAGGGCCAGGCTAGGATGGGGTGGGCAGCTTGAATGTAAGTCTCACACAGTGTACCAGGCAGGGAGGGACTCACAGTAACAGGGATTTCAAGCTATGGAAAAGGTCATTCTAACCGTAAATACCATTATCACTTATTTTTCTGATGACTCCAAGAAAAAGAAAACTTTTTGTTTCTGGTTGTTCAGTGGTCACATTTTTTTTTAAAGGGTGGGAGGGCTGGAGAGATGGCTCAGCAGTTAAGAGCACAGGCTGCTCTTCCAGAGGACCCGGGTTCAATTCCCAGCACCCACATGGTGGCTCACAACCGCCTGTAACTCCAGTTCTAGGGGATCTGACACCCTCACACCAATGCACATAAAATAAAGTTAAGTAAATTATTTTTTTAAAAAGTCGAAATTCCCAGCACTGTTTGGTCCTATGATACCACCTGTGGTAAAAACAAACAAACAAACTTGGTCGGCAGTCTGTTCGGTTGTTGAATAACCAAGGTGGAAAATTAAAGATTTTTAAGTCCTGTCTCGTCAAACAGCATCGAGACTGGCCATAAAAACAGAGAAAAGAATGCTCAATAGAACACACAGGATTTGAACTCACTCTGTACAGGTAAAAACACCTGAAGAGCATTCAGGCCAATTAAATATTATTACTAAAATAGCTGTAAAATCTTGAATAGTGGACAGATTAAACTGCTCAGTAACTACAAGGATGCTCACGTGCTCACCTTGAACACCTAAGGCTCACAACAGCCTCTTAATTCTGAAATGCAATGGCATCTGCCTTCCTCTAGATTTGTGGTCTGTTTGTGGGTATTGTGCCATGTATCTAATAAATAAGATAAACTTAATTGCAAGGGCTATAACAAACTTTTTATTATGGGGAAAGTTTTAAGTTTGCTTTCTGATATGGACTTTGGACAGAGTAACCCAAACCACATGGCTTATTCCAAAAAAGGCCCGGGTTAAGCTTTCTGGTTGAGGAAACTGGCGACGTGCAGGAAATTTTGTCCTCTCCGGTGACCTGATAAGGACTTCAAGTTCCATCCATTTATGCATTCCAGCTCCTAGAAATTGGCTCTTGGGAATTTTACAGTCTAATTTTCCTTGCTCTAAACCTCACAAGGGCAGCAGGGTAGGAGACTAGTCAAATTAGGACCCAGAAGAAAACAAGAGACAAGCCGAAACTAGCCTACCTACATCATCTATCCCAAGGTCACCAAACTATCCCAAAGTCACCAAAAGTCTTATTGTGGACACGGTAGTGTCTCCGTTCTGAAAAGAGGAAATAAAATACAGTGTCAAGAAAATACAACCAGAACCATATTTCTGGAGGCGAAAAAAAAGTTCTTCACCACTGGAGCAGAGCAACTTAGCAGGCCTTCGTGAGGACACAGTAGATTCGGCCGAAAAGTGTTCCTCGGGAGGTCACAGAACTGCCCTTCCTGTGGGTGTTCCAACTCCACTGTCTGAGATCTCACACCTCTCTGCTCACCTGAAAGGAAGATCCCGACCCTCCTCCTACAGCTGCCGTAGCGATTGGGACTCACACACTACAGGACCTGTCCCAGGAAACCATCCCATAAGTGGTAACAGGAGGACCGGAAAAGCTCCTTTGGAGCTGTTACACTAGACGCACTCCAGGAACACGGGTAAACTTCCAATTTGGTGGCTCTTTCAGGGAGTCCCAGTCCCACTTTCCTAAAGTAAAACAACTCTAGAGTGGTTAAGAAAAAGTAATGGCCAACTAAGGAGAAGTTACCCGAACTCCCCAGAGAGATAAGGACACGGCAGCTGTCTGAGGACAGGTGCCGCTGCTTAACCCAACTGCAAACAAACTTTCCTAAAGCAAGTGACAACTGGAGACTTTGACCTCTCCTAACCGACTAAGTGACATCCAACACAGTTTCTTCTCGAAAAATGGCAAGTCACACACGGAGTTTTCGGTCAAGTGCTGGGAGGTAACCCTCATGAAGTCACTTTTTAATAAGGGACCCGGGGACAACACAAGGATGTCAACAGGACGTCCCGTCAAGGGTTCAACTGAACTACTTGGAATTCGAACCCAGAACTTCCCACGCTAGACAGGACGAAACCGCTGCAGGTGGAGGCCTGCGGGGGGCTTTATGGGGGACCCGGTCCCCACTCCCCAGGCCCCAGATACTGGAGGAGGAGCACTCAAGGGGGAGACCGGCCCTTCCCGCCGCACAGGAGGCGGCCCTCAGGACCAGCGCTGACATCTCCCAGCGGCCGGCCCAGCCTCCCGATCGCTGCTCCGGGGAGGGGGAGCCGGGCCGCGCCCCCCCGCGCTCCAGCTGGCCCGCGCGCCCCACCCAGCCCGCGCAGCGCGCCTCACCCGGTCGGAGCTGCAGGCCGCCGTCGCGCCGGCTGCACCACAGTGCGCGCTCGCCCTGCTGCAGGATGTAGTGGTCCTTGGCTTGGAAGAGCTCCATGCCGGCCCCACGCGCTCCGGGAGGCGGCGGTCCCCACCCCCGGCCCGGTACCCCAGCAGCAGCCCGCGGGGGAGCGATGCAGGAGTCCTCCCCCACCGCGACCACCGGAGTCCGCGCCTTGGGGAGAGGCCGAGAACCCACGGCCCGGAGGAACTGGGAGGGGAAGCACCCCGGGGGCCTGACCCGCCGGTAGAGATCACGCTTGGGAGGCCGCGGCCCTAGAGGCCTCTCCCCCTCCCCCCCCGCAGCTCCCCTACTCAGGCCCCGCCCCCCGCCCTGAGGCTCCACCTCCTATAGTTCATCCTGGCTTCCCTAGACTCCACCTCCTCCCAGGTTCCTCCCCCTTGCCCGTGCAACTCCGCCTCCAATAGTTCCTCCCCTCTCCCCTAAGCACCACCCTTGCCCAGGCTCCGCCCCCGGCCCGCCGACTCCACCTCCTGTAGTCTGTCCGGGCTTCTCCCTAGGCTCCGCCCCTTAAGTTCCTTTTCCCCGACCCGCCGACTCCGCCTCCCTCTGTAGTTCTCCGAAAGGCGCCTAGGCCCCGCCCTGGTCCCGCCCACGGGTATCTGGTTCCGCCCCCTCGCCATCTGCATCTCTAGCCTTTCTTCTTTCAAGCTCGGCTGGGGCGGCTCCTCCCTCTCAATCTCCCGCCTCTGCTTCTCCGCCTCTCCCACGGGCCCCTCCTGTGTCCTGCGGGCATCCTACCCACTGTGACCTCGGGCGGACGCTGGGCTAGACTAAGTCTGGTTAGACTGGCTAGTCACCCTCTGTGCAGCCCTTGGGCTAGAGGCCCATTTCTCGAATTTTCCCTGACATGCAAACCGGTCCTTCCTTCCATTAGCTCCTAGAAAAGCCTAGACAAGTCCCACCTGACATTCCCTTCTCCTCTGGGAACATTTCCTCCCAGTCTGAGCATAAACAAAATCGAGCTCAGAAGTGCAACCCAACAGGCTGGGTCCTGGACTCCATCCCAAGTGGGCCCTCCGCTGAGCAGAGGCCGCTTCTGTTTGGGCGATTCCTATTAGAACTTGGACACCAACAATCATTCAGTAAATACACATCAGTGGTGGTGCATGTTAGTTTTTTGTCTGCGTTGTGTTCTTACCCTTTGCAAGGAAACGTCACGAAACACGACAGAATCCGCTTATAGAGTTGATTGGAAACAAAGGACAGAAAGTGCAGGCCTGTGGGAGAAACACGTGCGTGCGTGGAGAAGAGAAATGGGGAATATCGCGGGGGACTTTTAAAACCGGCTGGGGGCGTGGCCAGGTCACGTCACTACATGGTCATGCTGCGCGCTTCACACGAGACCCCTTGGCCCGGAACTTGCTAGGCGGAGATATCCGGGCTCACCGGGTATCCTAGCTACGAAAGACGCTTTTTTTGATGCGGAAATGGCTAGGCGGAAGTGTCCGCCCAGTAAATGTGGCCTGGCCGCGTTGTGAACCCTTCAGTGCATGTATCAACAGAAAATACACCAGAGTTAGCAGGACTGGTGAGGAGAAGTACAGGACAGCCTGAGAAGCCTGACTACAGGAAGTCCGTTCATGAAGTCAAAGAAAAGGGACATCGCTCAGAGATGGTAAAATGGCCAGGTGGCCATCTCAATCAGAAAGGATTTGGGGATAAAGCTTGTAGACCTCCCAGTCTTCGGACCGTCTTCGGGTCTGTCCTGGTGTGTGATCTTGGGAAGATTTTAGTCTCAAGTAGTGGTTGAGTTCGTGACCTTAAATTACACTCTGAGGCTCCCAATTATGTACGGCAATGCGTCTTCTTCCTCTCCTATCTTCTTTAATGTTTTAAAAGCAATTTTTTAAAAAGAGGCCTTAGGGGCTGGAGAGATGGTTCGGGGGTCAAGAGTACTTGTTGCTCTTGCAGAGGACCTGGGTTCAGTTTCCAGCACTCCCAGGGCAGCTCACAACCATCTGTGTGGTTGGACACCTCTTCTGACGTCTCCACAGGCTCCTGTATGCACGTGGTACACAGGCACATAAATATGCAATAAATGTATTTTTAGAAAGAAGCCTCCGGTACTACAAAGGATGTAATACTTTTAACCTTTTGCTCAAATGAAACAGGAAGGAGTTCTCGTTACTAATTATTGCGAAGCCCACACTGATTTCATTGTTGAATTTCCACAGACCGACAGAAGTCTCATGACAATAAGATGTCCTGCGGTCTTTCCCCATAAGCTCAGTGCCTGATGGGCTGCCCCAGACAACACAACAGAAGGGCCAAAGGGGATTGGGATTCGTTGTGATGTGACTTGGACAAAGGTAAAGACAGTAAAATGTTTCAACAGAAACTTAGATAAATTAAATCAACTGCAGATTCGCCATTGAATTCAGGCATATATTGACAAAGACAAGTACTGAGAAAATTCTATGAAGACAGTAGGCCCTGAAAATAATTTCATTATTTATTAAAGAATCACATTAAAAAATCCTGTTTAAAATTGACTCAAGCCCTACATGATGCATGCCTGTAACTCCAGCACTCGGGAAATGAAGGCGAAGAGGATCAGAAGTTCAGAGCTAGCCTAGGCTACACGAGACCATGTCTCAAGAAAAAAAAATTAGTTGATTAAACTTTTCCAAATGTTTTAAACCAGTGGTTCCAACCCTGTGGCTCTCTACTAGAATCAGCTGAGAAGTTTCTAAATCAGATCAATGCCTAGACCTCAGACTTCAATAGTGTAGGGGTTGGCACCGGTACATTTTCCAAACTCCACCAAATGAGCCTAATGTGCCCCTAATGTTAAATAGCACTGTTTTGAATAAAATAAATTAGAAAATTGCCTTGACAGGCTGGTTAAAAACAGCAGCCACTCTTTAACACCATCATATGAGGTTGCTTACCTATAAATCCAGACTTCACCCTCACTAAGAGAGAGGAAATGCTCGAGAAATGATACTCCTGTTATCTGTCTGGCTCAAAAGCATGCTGTCCTCTCCTTCCGGCTCCAAATCCATGCGGTCCCTGGGTGGGCAGAGCTCTCGCCAGGCAAAGCAGAGTGAGTGAACAGAGAAAGTGTCTGTTTCTGGGGCAGGCCTCGGCAAGTCTCCGGCCACAGCTCACTTCCCTTCACCCTACTTTGGACGTGGTGCACCTTGGATCCTGCAGTGTCCCCAGCCCCCGGCTGACCTGCCCGTTCTTGGCCCATGGCTACTTTCCTACCTCCATCGTTCTTCCAACTGATTCAGCTTCCTCCTGCCCTGCTTGTCACCCAGGTCACACAAGAGAAAGTCCTGCTGCTGTTCTAGGTTTTGAACAATGATGGACATTCTATGTTAGTCATCTTTTTTTACATGTATGTTTATATTTTATTTATTCATTTATTTATTTTGGTGGGGTTTTGTTTGTTTGTTTGTTTGCTTGCTTTTTGAGACAGGGTTTCTCTACACAGCCTTGGCTGTCCTGGATCTCGTTCTGTAAACCAGGCTGGCCTCAAACTCAGAGATCCTCCTGCCTCTGCCTCCTGAGTGCTGGGATTAAAGGTGTGCGCCACCACCACCCAGCTTCTTTTGAGACAGGGTCTCACTATATTATAGTCTTAGCTGTCCTAGAACTCAATACCTAGACCAGGCTTGGCCTTGAACTCACAGAGATTCACCTATGCCTCTATGCCTGCCTCTGCCTCCTGAATGCTGAGACTCAAGGCAGGTACCACCATGCCCTGCCTTCTATTTTTATTTTTAACTTTGTACCTGTGTGTGTGGCGCAGGGAGGAGGGGGGTGTGCATCTGAGTCCAGTGCCCACAGAGGCCAAGAAAGGGTTTCAGATCCCCAAAAGCTGGAGCTGGAGTGGTAATGAGTACCCCTCCCCCAATGTGGGTACTCAGGACCAAATTCATATCCTCTGCAAGAGCGGTATGTGCTCATAAATGCTGAACCATCTCTCCAGTCCCCCATTTTCTAATTTAAAAAGACCCTCCCTAGAGAGTCCCTGCAGCACTGAAATCAACAAATGTACACAAATGTATGCACATGCTTAATCCTACCCAAGTGAAATGGTAAATTACCCAACTCTACTGAGAATTTTGACCTTCGATGTCAGGTCCTTTTGTTTGTTTTGTTTTGTGGTAAAGAGAATCAAACCCTAGGCCTCTTTCACACATTAACAGATCAGAACTCCACCCATGGACTACAAACCCAGCTTCTCAATATGAGTTATTATTTGGCACTGAGGTTTTTGAAGTCTGATTAGTCTTTGGTATCCTCTGGTGAAATTTGACTTTAGCATCATTTCCTACCTTTTGTCTACACTGGTCCAGATGTGTCTATGAGAGCTCTCTTTTGTCTACACTGGT